GCTCCTGCAGAGCTGTCGGCATAAAACCATCGAAAATAAACAAGAATATATTTATTTAAGGGTGTTAGACTCCACTAGGGTTACATTAAAAGCTACGCGGATAAACATTTTCATGTACAAAGAAAATCGAGATCGATGTAATCACTCCAATAAAATATTTTGTTGCTGGATTGTGTTGAAAAAATACCAACATAAAATGTGAAATATCTGATTTTGTATTTTAATACTTGCATTTTTAAACCACCTATGAAACTTTTCAACCAATCCTCTCATTGCATCTGCCGTCGTACTCAGGGTGGGCAAAGCGCGTACGATTTTTATGGACGTGCATCAAGGGCGTTAAAAATGCTGTCAAAAAATGCGTCTGGCTTCGATGAGCACAAGCATCCAGGATGAGGCACTGGAAACGCGTTCAGTGAGACGCTGCATTACAGTTCTGGCTAACTGTTTTCAAACGTCTGCTCTGTCTGTACCACTGCCAGGGATGAACAGCCATTAATATTAGAAAAATCTAAATGATTCAGATTCTCAAGATTTAGAATTGATATTTGTTTTTAATGCAATCTAGTCCAGTATTAAAGGAGAAGTTCGGTTTTTTACACTTTAAGCCCATTTTCTGTAGTGTCCAGGATGAAATAGAATGAAGGACACCAAAATTTTGACAATTGGTCCTGTCTCTGCTTTTTGGCTCATTTAGAATCAACCCCTGGCTGCTTTAGAATGGCTAGCATAGAGCATGTCCGATAATGTCCTTAAAACAACCTTAAACGTTCTTTTTTTAAAATATGCTACTCACCGTGTCGTCAGCGCTGTTCAATGACGTTCCAAAAAAGCAGAGACAGGACCAATTGTCAAAATTTTGGTGTCCTTCATTCTATTTCATCCTGGACACTACAGAAAATGGGCTTAAAGTGTAAAAAACCGAACTTCTCCTTTAAATTATTAAAAACATATATTTTTTCTAGCTGTTACCTGAATTAGTTGACTGTAGTTATGCAACATATAATAAGAGCGGTTAATTGGAGGCCAAAAGTACAGTGGGAAAAAAATCTTTCTGTGGTTATTTGAATCAATTTTTATAGATTAAAATGAGAATCGAATTAGTACCGTAATATCCTTTTTTATTTTTTTAGTTGCTGCCCCACTTTCCTTTAGATAAAACCCAAATTCCACAGATTTTATCGCCTGGAATGTTCTGACAGAATAAATAAGGCCTAAAGATTTCTGGGGAAAACCAAGAATAAAGAAACTAAATATGAGGCCAAAGTAAAATGTATAAAATGTTGGGATAATTTAAGAGTTTGAAAGCAGAGGGATTTTTGTCATCCTTAACCGAAACTACAGAAACCCAGATTCCCACACAGCGGTACGGAAGGAGGCCTTATGGAGTCGGGCTCCTCATTGCCGGCTACGATGTGAGCTGCTTCTGTTTAAGTCGGCTTTACTCCAGCATAACTTAGAGGCATCTCAAGTTGACCGTTGCTCTTTTTGTTCGGTCCGTCCTACAGGACATGGGACCTCACATCTTTCAGACTTGCCCCTCGGCAAACTACTTTGACTGCAAAGCCATGTCCATCGGAGCGCGCTCCCAGTCTGCACGTACCTATTTGGAGCGGACCATGGACAAGTTCCAAGACTGTAAGGCTTTGTCCTTTGTTTTAATGTCTGAATAGAAGCAGGTGGATTAAATGCTGAACCTTGTTGGATGGCGGGGATGTTCACAGGTAACCTGAATGAACTGGTTCAGCACGGCCTCCGTGCTCTTAGAGAAACACTTCCCACTGAGCAGGACCTCACCACCAAGGTACCACAGATTCCTTCCTCTTCTACCTCAACATTAAGGCATTTCCTCATGATTTCATCCGGTATGTTGCAGAACGTTTCCATCGGCATCGTGGGGAAGGACATGGAGTTCACCATTTATGACGATGACGACGTCGCTCCCTTCCTGGAGGGGTTGGAGGAAAGGCCGCAGAGAAAGGTACGACCCTGCTTCAGTTTCAGCTTTATTTCCTGAAAGGATTCCTTAGACCAAAGAAAAAAAGGATCGTTTGTGTCCAGGTGGCCCAGTCTGCAGAGGAACCTGCTGCTGGACAGGCGTCCGACGAGCCAATGGAGCACTGAGGACCAACCTGACACTTCATGCAAATCAACGGAGCAAATCTGTAGAGGAGAAGGCTGTTGTGTTGTGCCTCTCACTAAACTGTTCATCCAAATTAGACCTTGCCTACATCAACCCATGTAACGTTTCTTTTCTATGGGTAGAATATGCCATTATAGTAATAAACATCATTTTTTGGAAATGTGCTTCCACTCATTTTTTTTTATAATCCAGATGGGATAGTCTGTATTAAAAGGAAAACGGAGTCAAAGGAAGGAGAGGAAACAGAAAACGTTTATTTTCATTTCAGCTTTTCTGACAGGTGCTTTGAGAAATATCATTGCAATCTTAGAACACTACTTCCCCTAAACCAGCATGCAAAAATCTAAAAAAAAAGTCTACCATTTTAGGAAAATCAAACTGTCAGTTTTCTGCTAGTTTTCTTCTAGAATGGAACCAAATCAGAAACATTTGGGAGCAAAATGTAAACCCAGCAATTGATTTATCTTTTTTCTTATCTGCTTTGCTAGGCAATTTTTTTTTACAGCATTTTCTTAAATTTTTATTTCAACTTAAATGCATCAAACCCAAAGTTTAGTAATGAAGCGAGGATCTATTTAAGAAGCTAAACCTTTAACAGATATTAAACTCATCTTTAGCTCAGGCTTCAAAGGAATTAAGGATTTCACAATGATAGAAAAACCTGTAGGTAATCGTTAATTTTTTTTTCTTAAACCGAGTGCATTTGTTCTTAGATTGAGGAGGTAAAAGAGACATTTTGCCAATGGAACAAGACAATTTACAATTAAACACAATTACATTTTCTTATTTCAAGTGGATGTTATCTAATTATCTTATTTTAAATGTAAAAATACTCATTCTAATGGCAAACCATCTCATTTACCTACTCAAATTAAGGGTAAATACACTTAATTTAAGAAATTTCTAGATCGTTTTTTCAGTGTAGTAGCTCTGGTTTCTCTTTGCCATCTTAAAACGAGCGTTTTACGCAGACGCACCAAAAGACTGACCCTGCAGACGTCTCTGACCTCATGTGACAACATTGAGAAATTCGCTCACAAAAAAACAGGAAGTATGTTAAAGTGTCTAAAGCTGCATTCACATTGCAGGTCTGATATTTTATTTTGTGTTGTTGTTCATATAACCTATAAAATGTGGCTTTTACGTGTTTTCAATGTGAACAATAAGCGGCTCCAAACTGACCTGAATGCCCATAAAAAACAAAACTTAAACACATCACAACAGTAAACATGGAGAAAAAGGTTTCAGCCTTTATAGGGAAAGTTACCATCGTCGATCACTTGCATATCCCTTACAAATGGATTCCTCCACCGTCCCTCAATGAGGTCTAAAAGCACAACATTTATATCCAGCCATTCAGCAAAGCTACTGCTACATGGCTGTAGATCTTATGTTGGCATTTGACCAATTAGATGAGCCCTTGAATGATATATTACCTACTGTAAATTAAGTTGGTAAAAAGCAAATGGAAAAGTAAAAAAGTTCATAAGCTAAGTTTGAAAAAAAGTAAAAAAGTGCCTGTATCAGCATTAATGCCTCTAAGGTTATAATGTAACCAAAAAATGTTTCTTTTACTCTTGAGTGTTTTTGATTCATTTCTTACAGAAACACATTTGTTATATATTAGGGCAAGTGGCCATTTAATACTAAATTGACATAAATTTTTGAAATTAAAACATCCACTTCTTTTTTTATGTTACTAAGGCAATAAGGTCTTCCAATAACACTCTTGGCCTAAAATGTTGATTTTAGTTTTTTAGTGAGGGTCCTATAAAGTGCAAAACAGAAACCAACTATTGTATGAGCAGGTGCTGCATGAGAAATGCATAAATAAAAAAGATGAAAAGTCTTAATTGAGAATTTTAGGTACATCTAAAACGATTATGATATGGAGCCAGCAGTGGGGGATTTTAGTTTATTCAGAATTTTATCAACCAAGGAAAGCTTGATCATAAATGTTAACCCCTCTCACCCCTGCAGGGAGGAGACTCTATGCCATCCAGTGTATTAAACCGACACATCATTGTGTCTCTATAGCATTTTAAAGTTGTCTGTCTGAAGGGTCACATACAAGGATTATAATCCAAACTGTTTCCCATATCCTGGTTCCTAAAAGCTCTTCAATTAGACATGAATAACTCCAAGACTCTTGAGGTCTCTACTGCACATCACTGCAATGGAAGTATGAGTATTAGTCTTGAAATGAGCGTATTTCCCGTTAATTTTAGCAGCTAAGAAAGAAAATTAGCAATGGAATAAAATTATTTACGCTTAGAATAAGAAAAACAACACCCGTATTATTCTCTTGCAAGTGCATAATATCTTAGAGGAAGAAATATTCATCTGATCTGCCTACTTAAATAAAGAAGAGAAAATACACATTTTTCCAGGATAATTACCTTATTTTCCATCAGTTTTTGCAGTGTTATAACACAAGATTCTGTCTGCTTTACTAACTGCTGCCGTTTTCTGCTGGACGGCAAAAAATTGTGACAAATTTGATGGAAAGTGATGTCAAATCTAATCTATACTAGTGTCTCTTTCCAAACCATCAGATATAAATAAATAATATACACCCTGGCAGACCCCGAGGTCCTCTGGTAGAAGCATTTTAATTGTTCCCAAAGTGAAAAGTAAACCTCACTGCGAGGCGCCCTTCCATCACTAAACTACCTGTCTATTCAATTTTGTTTGTCTTATTTTACATATTTAGTTTTTTATCCCGTTGTATTTTATTTATTGTTGGCCTCCAGGTCTTAAAGGATCCCCATATATATATATATATATATATATATATATATATATATATATATATATAGATATATAGATATATATAGATATATATGGCTTTAGTGGAGGCTTTTCATATATTTTTTTTATCTTGACCTGCATTTTATTTTTGTTTTTTTACTAATTAAAAATGTACTAATATTGTCCAAAAGCACTTTATAAATAAAGTTTGATTTGATTCAGGACCACATATGAAAGTGGCTCATATATGACTCCATGCTTCTTTTAAACAGCCTGATCTGATCACTTGACCCCCCAAAGAAATCAGATCTAGGCTACATCTGCCTGCAATGTGAACCGGGCCTATAGGATGACCTACCTGTTCAGCATGATGGCGGTAGCATCATGCTGTGGGGTAGTTTTGCTGCCTTCTACTGCATTGATCAGCCTAATGCGATACCAGGATCCTTTGTGTTCTTTGTAACACACATACTGGCATCAGGCCTGATTATTATATCAGAAATCATCAAAGCCCCAAATGCTAACGATAGGTTGATGCAAACCTTAGTCAGAAAAATAAAGTCCAATGAGGAGCTTGGCTGCAGTAGGAAAGGAGTTTGTTATTTAAATGCTACCTAAGAGTCAACATATGGCTTTCTTTGCCTTTCTTCTCTTGTTCCTACGTCTGACTGAGCTGCCGGATGTTTCGGTCTCCCCCGGGTGGCTCTGGTCCTCCGTTTTCTCCTGCTCCAACATGGCAGTCATTTTCAGCGTGAGCTCCAGCTCCTGGAGGGCTCCATCCATGGGCTCCTGTTGGAGGCCCTGATCAAACTGACCACCATAATCCTCCTCTTCCTCCACCTCCTCTGGCTCTTTGGGTTCTGCTGCAGCTTCATCTGCATCTCCTGCACCCATAAAATCACCGGTAAGGTTTTCCACCGTAGCTCCCTCCGTCCCGTCCGTGTCTCCTTTCGGATCGCTCTGACAGCAGCACTGGGTGGCCTCCCAGCACGGATCAGGTTCCTCTGGGTAACCTGGAAAAACACATTGATTGTTTAGGGGAGTTCTGACTCCTCCAGAAGGTTCAGTGGATAAAACATTCACTCACCTTCCCAGCCTTCCTGGGACTTCTTCTCAGGGAGGATCCCCTCCACCAGCTGGCCCTCCTGCATGACTCGAGTTATCTCTGACAGCTGCTGCAGAAGACTCTCCTCCTGGTCCGCCGTCACTCCCCTCACCCTGTAAGTTACATTTATTTTTTTTAGCTGTGTTCCAGGCCAAAGCAGAATCTGTGACTTGTTAGGATGTCTGAAAGTAGAGTCACCTGTCAGGACTGTGGTGGGCGCTGGAAACGATCTTCTCCATCACCAGCTCCGTCTCCCTGAGCTTCTCCTGCAGCTGGGCCAGCTGGAAGTCAGCTGTGGGAGTTAAAGGAGACAGATGGGAAAACAAGGATCTCATCCTCTGAGATGTTGGTTCTTCAGCTTATTTGGAGAAGTCATAGTAGGCAGATAATCATGAACTAAAGATAAACCCAATCAGGAAATTATGCTTTACTCCTTTGCAGCCAGATGTTGCTCATTGAATGCAACCGATTCCTTCTCTCTGGGTTTAAAGGTCATAAACAAGATTATTTGGGGCAGCCAGAGAATTCATGTAGAGATGGAAGCTACTTAAATTCGCAGTTAGAAGGCTAAATGTTATAGTTAGTTGGATTAAGTCGGGTTCACATCGAGAAAAAGCTTCTTCTCAGCCAAAAGAAAACGGTAGCGGAACTGAAGGTGGGTCACAGGGGCTCCCAAACCTTTCTACACTGTCACCTTCTTTTAGAACGTTTTTTTCTTCAAATTTTTCCTCCTGTTTAGCATAAATATCTTAACAAGTACATTTTTAACTTTGTACAAAATGTCCAATAAATAACAAATGTTTGGTGATGACAAAAAAAGTACAAAAAAAATCAAATGAAACTAAGGGTGCACTGTTCTCTGGATGAACATCCAATATCCATCTTAACATGCAGATCCTGATTTGGACCAAAAAGCATTTTGTTTTGTTACTTTGTTACCATATATGGTGGAAGCTATCATGCTTTAATTAATGTTCAGGTACTGTAACACTTTTTAAAGGAACTGCATAAAATATCAGGGGTTTCTAAAAAGCTAAAATATAACTTTCAACTAGCTGCAACTAGCGATTATTTTACTGATTGATTCATCTGTCAATTATGTTTTTGATGAATTTATTAATAATCAGATTGCAAAAGGTTCCTTAAGGAAGAGTTTTTACTAGTGTTGCAACAATACAGATCCCAGTATCGGGCAGGGCCCTGATCCAGCACTAAAATGGTGGTATCAGTATCGGCGAGTACCAACAAATAGGGCACCGATACCATTTTGGGAGCCAAAAGTTATTATTCATTATTTATTCAACTATTGTCACCCATTCCAGGTAGGGGATAAAAACTTCTACTGGATTCACTTTGTATTAGTCTTTTTCCTGCTTCACAAAGGTAGGCAGCAGCTTGACAAAGCCATGATGGAAATTATTTTACATCCAACTAGTATGCAGTTCTTCATATATACACACACATCAGTTTCAAACAGATGGCATCGGTATTGGCCGATACGGCACAGCCAGGTATCGGTATCAGAGCCAAAAGATGGCATCGGCGCAACACTACTTTCTACAGAATTTAAAGACGGGGAAGCAAAAACTGGGGGAGTTCTAAATAGAGCATATTTAATGTTTTTATCTTAAATGTTAAATGTTTACACATATATATTTTTTTTTTTACAATTTTGGTCTATCAGCTTAAAGCATGTTTTAGAGTATCTATACTCCATTTAACGATCAATCGATAACTAAATTAGTTGACGATTATTTAAATAATCTATTAATCCGATTGTTTCAGCCCTATTTTCAACCAATCTGATTTATTAAAAACAATCAGCATATGCTGCACTCGTAAAATTTTTATTCAGTAACTGAAGAAAAAATGGATTCTGAATCGAAAAGGGGTGGTTTAATTTATGGAAATAAGGTTTTTGATTCAAATGTGATTCATTAAGACTCATTAAGTAAAGACTGTAATTAAATCAGTCAACATTTTGGATCACCTTCAACCACTGTGTTTTTGGGATTAGGCGGTAATGGGGTTTGGAGGATATGGAAAATGGTTTGCAAACCCAACCCAGAAGCTTTATAACCACTGCTGTAGAAAAACACATCATCCAAAGTCATATACATGTTAAAGCTGATGACTTTTTGGTAGTATATTATATATTTGGTTATATGCTGGTTTCATTAATTAGATGTGACATGTGAGGGTTTCATCTGACTGAATTTATTTTGAAATTGTTATATTTTGTTGTTTTTTTAGCTTCTTATTTTTGCCTGTAAAATTACATTATGTTGAACTATTTCAGATCTGTTACCCAGTAAATCAGCAAACATCTCTCTACTTGAGTAATGCTACCGGTACTTTTACTTGACTTTACTGTCCTTTGTATTTCAACCACAAGTCCTGTGAGCCTTTAAATGGACAGGAAACCCTTAACGGCGTAATGTGAATTTAAGTTTAACCATCCAACCATTGAAGCTGGGCTTAGATGAAGATCTACAGTATTAGTACCCGTGGTTATGGCTGAAAGTGATTCATCGGTTCCTGGAAGCATTAAGTCAGGCTGTTTCTGAGGGCATGGTGTTCACAGAGCAAACCCACAGAGTTACAACTGGACCTCTAGTTATCACACAAAGATAAAGTGAAAATGAAAAATTAAACCTGAAAATGTGTCATTTTTAAGGGTGTTTTTGTTTTCCTTTTATCAAATCATACATGCCTCTACAAGCCTTTTTTAATTAGATCAGGATGCAGGAAAGCAGGATTGACATGAAAACATTTGATTTAAGCTGCAAAGAAGAAACAAAGCTCACTGATCTTCCTTTTCATGTTCTCAGAGCGCCGTGGAGGACACCTCCTAGATGGCTTGCTGTTCCCTTTAGATGTGATCTGAAAAACAAACAAAGAGGTTATCTGATCATCTCCATGGTTACCATCCAATTGTTTTGGTCCAACCACTTCTCCTAAATGACTGTTGTTTTTGTTCTCATCTGTGTTTTTAGAGCTTTTTATATCCAGCTGACATGTTTTTACCTTGAATAAAATGTAGAGGATGTAGAGTAAGATCCCAAAGCCGTACACCGGGATGATCTGTCCTGCCAGGTTGGATTTCCCTCCAGTTCCGGTTCCTGTTCCTGCTCCTTTAGCCCTGGCTGTGGCCTCAGAGTTATGGGCCCTGGAGAATCCTGACGCCGCTGCCCTCTGGTTGCGACTCTCTGGAGGCATCTGACGGTGCATCATGGGAGGGAAATGTCCTGCAGAGAAACAGCATCCAGGTTGATAGTGAGGCATTAGGGGGGAGTGGCGGCCTAGTGGTTGGGGCATAGAGCTTAGAATCCTAAGGTTCTGAGCGCGAGCATCACTTCCCACAGAGTGACTCTTAACCCCACACTGCTCCCCAGGCACCGCACAATGGCTGTCCACTGCTCCCCGAGGGCATGGGTTGAATTCAGAGGTAAATTTCTCCAATGAGAGATCTATAAAGTTCCATTATTATTATTATTATTATCATTATTAACCTGGGTTTTTAGCCCAAACTGTTTCGGAACCAAAGAAATAGGATTCCCGATTGCTAGATCCTGGCATTGCTTTTTGTTTAACTTCTATTTTGTTAGAATGAAACAAGACAAGGGATCTGATTTCCTGCATTTATGTTCTGAAATATGTAATTGGTTCTTTGAGGATATTTTTAGCAGTTTTGAAAAATGGAGCCTACGCGGAAGTTCAACTGATCCATGGTAGCTAACCACCATCGCAGCTAAAGCTTCATCAGAGCTTCATTCCTCTCTGACTCTTGCTGCATTCCGCTTCACATCTCAACCGGTCAGGCAGAAGACCGCCATGTTGAGCCTGGTTCTGCCAGAGGTTTCTTCCCAACGGGGAGTTTTTCCTCTCCACTGTCACTTCATGCTTGCTCATCATGGACAGGTTCTCTCAACCTGTATCGTGTATCAGCTCACGCAGTCCACTGGATCTCCCCATAAAGCTCAGCATACCGTCTCGCCAACAGTAGTCTACAGACTGACCAACTTCATCTGTCTCCACTCCACTACCAGTTTCAGGCCTGGGGGGGAAACAGCCCTATGCTTTGCTCCTGTTCATGCATATCTATCAAAATTAAGCAAAATTATTCTCACAGCCTGGCTTATCGTCTATGTCCATGTAGGCGTCATTTCTGATTATCTCTCAAAGAACATCAATTATGGTTTTTGAGTGAAAGCTTGCTCCATTATACATTTTTTTTCATTGTTCTTTGAAGGTATTTTTATTCCAAAAACAGGAGCAACTCATTTTGGTGTTTGGCATCTTTAAATGAAACCCTTCTTGACCTGTTTGTAAACAGCCTTGACATTGGTCCTGCACAGACGGTATGCAGGAGGCTTTGTCAGAGTCATACAGCAATCGGCTCATTTAACTGCATCAGACAGTTTCTTTCTTTACACTGTTTTCATAGTAATGGATCTAAGTTGAAGTTTTTTTGGGATTTCCTTTTGCATTTGCAACAGTTCCAGTTTCCTGATCAAACCTCATTCTCAAGTTCGTCTTTTATTATCCACTTCTTAAACAGAGCTTATATAAACCATTTTATTTTGAATGGAAAGTTGTAGTTGTAGTAGGAAAGTAGTTGTCTTGGTTATTTAGATAGTTTCTAGTATCACTGTTATGTAAAAAAAACAAAAAAACAAGTAAATAGTAAAGATAAAGGTTTTTGTATCTTTCTTCATATAAGGTTAAAAAAGACAGAATCTGACCGTTCTTTCCATGTATGGAAATCTCTTAGTACAATTTTTACAACAATTATCATAGTTACTGTTTAAATCTAGTTCATGAAAAAGAAAACTTTCTACAACTTTAAAAGCAATATCTGCCAAAACTCTGAAAACTTGTTTTTTCTTATTAGGCTATTATTATTATTATTATTATTATTATTATTATTATTATTATTATTATTATTATTATTATTATTATTATTATTTACTTCATAAAAACGTACAGAATTGTTATTGAAACGCTCATTTGTAGTTAGGGAAAATTGATCTGTGTTTTGGCGCCACCTGTAGGGAGGAAAGTGCAATTACAAGAACATTGATGCCCAGTTTTAAAATAAGAGACAATCAAACGTGTGTCTGAAGGTAATTGCGTTCAGAGTCCTATTCTCTGAATTAATCAAAACCGAATAAAATGTAGGGATGGTTTAAAGGCTGAAAAATGTGGACGCACCGTCTGGCCGCTCGGCAGCATCCTTCCTGCCCCTGGATAACAGCATCTTTGGAAGCAGCAGCGCCACGCACAGCACAAGGCACGTCGCGAGGGTCACCTTTTGAAACGTTGACATAGACATACTGACTGTGATGCTAATGTAAAAAAATTAGGTTACAGCTAGAATAACGGAGAAGACATGATGAAACGGTCGGACCTCCTCGTTGACCGCAGGAGCGGAAGTGCGAATTAATGGTAATGACAATGTTAGACCACAAGGGGTCGCCAAAGATCCGAGTTTAAAATAACAAGTGACAGCAGGAAGTGTTATAGGTGAAAAAAACATATTTTAACAAATACCGCAACACACAGATATACCCAACCAGATCGGCAACAAATGTTCTATTCTTTGTGTGACATTTTGATTTTTTCATTTTCATACATTCACACAGCTAAACAAATTAAATAATAATAATAATAATAAAACCCTTTGCACCAAAATAGCTTTAAAGGTCTAGGCCTCATCGCTACATCTGGTCTAAATTAAAACTATAACTTATGACAAGTGTGACTGCCTTTGCAATAAAGTTGAAAACACCACATTTGTGGAGTTTCTTTTAGGCAACAAAAGGAAATGGAGAGAACTGCCAACAGATGTTAGATGATAACTAACCAGCTAGCCCCAACATGACTCCACACATAGAACATGGTCTGTTTTTCAATTACAGTTTGGGGAGTGAGGAGGGGTGCAGCAAATGAAGCACTTGATTAAGCTCTGCATAGGTCACACAGTTGTGTTTTTATTTTGGCTGAGGTAATATTAACATTTTAGGGTGATCCTAAAAGAGTCCCAATTTCAAACAGAATGTGTTGATGGAATACAATAAGCTCTTTGGACACTGAAGGTTTAGAATTTTAAAATAAACGGTTGAAAAAAATGGAAAATACAAAACTTCGTTGATGCATATTTTTTGGCTCAAGCATTGAAAACCACCGTTATCTTTGTCACAACTTGTTTCCGCCTCTGTGCCTCATGTTACAAGCCACCATGACTAAAACATATAAGCCTGCTTCCCTGCATCTAAGCTACTACATTATAAGCCTAGGATTATTTCTTTGGGAAAACAGTGAAAGTTTGTGGGAAAACTGTAAAATAAACATATTTTGCTTTTTTTTTTTACACCATAACTGAACTGCTGAAAAAGAAATAAACTCCAGTCCATTCATTCTGGAAAACTATTAAACAACGATACCTATCAACCTTTTTATTTGACTACTTCTGCAGAATTTTGTTCATGCTTAGAGCAGCTACAAACAACCTTTTTAATGACCGGCTATTTCCTTACATGTTGCTCGTATTGATTTCATTAATAAAAAACAGACAAACTGTGATTTCATTCCAGTTTAATAAGTCGAGAAAAAAAAAACATCAGGGGAAACAAGATAACTAAGGGGGTCTTGAAATCTTTAGAATCAAGTCTTTTATTTTGAATAATTCATATCATTATTACCATCATTACATTTTTGTAGTGTGCACTCCAAAAGTGACAGCCAGGAGAATCTGGCAGTCAGAGGAAAATTAGCTCGTCTTTATTTGATAAACAGACTGATTATTCTTCGACTGACGTCATCCATCTGATGTATCTGATTGTTTCAGACTTTCGAAACCTTTTTCTTTTTAAGCAGCACCGCTCCAGTTCACAGTCCGCAATAAGCATGTTGTGGGAAAAATCCTCTTGAATGTTTTTCCAGTTTTACTTCCTGGCTGACCTTGAGCTCATCTGATCAGCTTTGAGGGAGTTAACCATGCAGCTCTGTCATAAAGAGTTCAAACATTGGTAGCGGCGAATGTGTCCAATCTGAGATTCTTTGTTTTTTTGTTTTTTCTATTTTTATTCTTTTTACATTCTTCAGAGTTCATTTGGAAGAGAGAAGCTGACGAGCAACGTGCTGCTTGGAGTTTCATGGTCCAGCTGGCTCACCATGGTCCCTCTACAGATCTGCAGTGAGAGAAGCAAACATAAAAAATCTGAGTGTCACTTTGCAGTCCAAAAAGAGAAAAAAAGCACTTCTTCAGAACACCAAATAAGTATTTTAGTCCCCTGTCCCCTCATTTAAAATCGTTTCCTTTAGCTGTAACCATCCAGCAGATTCTGGTGTCATTCAACTTTTATTTTGTTTTCCAACAATATAAAATTTCATAGATCTGGGAAACAATTCAAGATCTGAAAACATTAAAAGATATTGCAGCACCACCCACATTTATAGCGAGGGCCTTGCAAAAGTAATACTTTTTCTCAACCCTTTTTTTCACTGTTTTCATCACCTTACAACCAAAAGATGCAAAAAAATATGAGAAGTTTACCACATCTCTCAAAATCTCTGACAACAAGTAAAACACAGTGGTGAATGAATCATGCTGTGGGGATGTTTTTTCTCTGCTGTTACAGGGAAACTCCTCAGAGTTAGATAGAACAGGCTCAATACATGAAAACTTAAATCTCAGGTAAAGGTTTTACCTTCCAGCAAGGAAACACTGAGCAGTTGTCTGACTGAAAGGTATCGACCAGTTAAAACCTAGATCTCACCTTGGGGAGAATCTGTGGCAATACTTGAAAATAAATGTACGAAGATGCTTAGATAAACTGAGTTTCGCGTAAAAGAGAAAATGCTAAATTTTCATTTTCAGATGTGCAAAGCGGGTATTGATCTGCTTCAGAAGCATTGCGTCATGAAGAATTCTACCTGGTCGCCATATTAAGTACCAAACACTTAGGCTGTGTCCAAACATCCGCCCTAACTTCTAAATCCCTCATTCACTATATAGAGCAGGGACTATAAAAACCACGTTTTGCTCCCTGCTGGTCAAGTAACTCCGCCTCCACGGCACCGGGCCTGCGCCATCTTAGGTATTATTCGCCGCTGTCAGGTAGCAATAGCCTATGGCGACAGCGGGCCGCTGTGACAGCAGATCCCATAATGCTTTGTGAGGAAAGCTCTCCACGCAAAGCATTCTGGGATATATCTGCTAGTCTAGTGACCATGGATGATCACTACTTTTTAAGGTGCATGGTGGGAAGTTTCAGGTCCACTACTTTTTCATCCTAGACGTTCAGACACTAAAATAGCGTAACCACTATATAGTGCTCTATATATTGTTAAGGGCAGAAATTCGGACACAGCCTTAGCTTAGCTCTGTGGTGCGGCCCTCTGACCAGAATGGATCGTTCTAATGTCATCCACACAAAGTCCCTGCAGACTTTTTTTTTTTAGAACCTTTCTTACAATTGTCAGGCTTCCAGATTTTTCCTTGCACACCGGGAAAAGTCTGAAAGCTTTTAAAAGCAAAGATGCCGATCAGTATCACAGCTGACTGCGTTCATCCAAAACAAAAGAAGATATTTGTAAGCTAAGCGTTCTGTATAAGTCGCGTTCTGCTGATCTTTATGCTTACTTTATGTTAAAAGCTAAACACACCAAAAAGGTAAGAGACTTCGAAGCATCCGATGCTGGTCCAGCTGATTCCATAACAGTTTTATCCCCACTGCCATTGCTGAATGTTATGTAAAATGGGTTATTTTATTTATTAAAAAAAATAAATTTTTGGAATAACTGTAAATTAGATGTA